CTGGGGAAAAAAGGAAAGTTTGGCGTTACACTGGCGAAAGGAAGGGGAAGGAATGAAAAAGGAAAAAAAAATACTGGGAAGGAAGGGTGGATGGGGAGAAAGAGGGGGATAGGAAGAAAAAAGAAGAAGAAGAAGGAAGGAAAAGGAAAGCATGCTGAGGAAAAGAAAAGTTTGGCGTTACATTGGCGAAAGGAAGGGGAAGGAATGAAAAGGAAAGGATGATGGGGAAGGAAGGGTGGATGGGGAGAAAGAGGGGGATAGGAAGAAAAAAGAAGAGGAAGGAGGAGGAAGGAAAAGGAAAGCATGCTGATGGAAAAGGCAAGTTTGGCGTTACAATGCTGACGAAGGGAAGGGGAAGGAATGAAAAGGAAAGCATGATGGGGAAGGAAAGGATGATGGGGAAGGAAGGAGAAAGAGGGGAATAGGAAGAAAAAGAGGAAGTAAAAGAAGAGGAAGAGAGGAATAAAAAAAGAAAAAAATAAGTTGGATGGGGAGAAAGAAGGAAATAGAAAGAAAAAGTAGAGGAAGGAGAAGAAATGAAAAAGAAAAAAAATACAGGAAAGGAAAGTTGGAAGGAGAGAAAGAGGGGAATAGGAAGAAGAGGAAGTAAAAGGAGAAGAAGGGAAGGAATGAAAAGTGAACATTATCGGGATAGAAAACTGGAAGAAGAGAGGAGGAGAATAGGATAGTGATGTTAGGAAGAAAATGAGGAAGTAAATGAAGACAGAACGAAAAAAAAGGAAGAGGGAAAACACGAGTAAAAAGAGAACATTATCGAGAAGGAAGGCTAAAAGGAGAGAGAGATGAGAGGGATAGGATAAATGAAGAACAAGAATGGAGAGAAAGCATAATCGAGAATGAAAGGTGGAAGGAGAGAGAGATAGGAGGAGAGAACAGTGTTGTTAGGAAGAAAAAAAAAGGGAAAGAAAGGGAAGAGGAGGAGCAAGAAGGGGGGGGGGTAAGGGAGAAAAGTCTTGTACGGAAGGAAAAGAAGAAAGAAAATAGAAGAAAAAAGAATGGAAGAGGAAGAACAAGAAGAAAACATTGCAGGTCGAAGGAAAAGTTGGGAGAGTGGAGATAGGATTGTCTTGTTAGGGGGGGGGGGAGAAGGAAGAAAAAGAGGCAGAACAGGAAGACGAAGGGTAGAAGAGGGAAGGAGGAAAGTTCGGGGAGTAATGAGAAAAAGTATAATGTTCTCCTCCCCCCCTCTCTCTCTCTTTCTCTTTCTCTTTCTCTTTCTCTTTCTCTCTTTCTCTTTCTCTCTCCATCTTTCTCTCTCTATCTTCCTGTCTTTCTATCTTTCTCTCTCTCTCTCTTTCTCTTTCTCTCTCAATATTTCTCTCTCTATATTTCTCTCTCTCTCTCTCTCTCTTTCGTTCACCATTGCTACCGAAACATGTCCAAAGTCCTAAACAAACTTGAAAGGTAATTTAGATCTAAGCATTTCCACGGCAGTATGTTCCTAAGCACTACTTTCCCCTTTACCTATTTACCTATTACGCACCCCCTCCCCCTCCCATCTCCTTTCCTCCTCCTTTACCCCACCCCACCCCCCTCTCATTTCCTTCTCTCCTCCTCCATCTCCCCTTTCTTTCTTCACTACCTCTCCCCCTCACCACCTCTCCTCTCCCCCTCCTCCCATTTCCTTCTCTCCTCCACCATCTCCCCTTTCTTTCATCACTACCTCTCCTCCTCCTCCCTCCCCCCTCCCCTTACCACCTCCGCCCTCCCCCCTCCCCTCACCACCTCCCCTCTCCCCCCTCCTCCCATTTCCTTCTCTCCTCTTCCATCTCCCCTTTCTTTCATCACTACCTCTCCTCCCCTCCCCCCTCCCCCCTCCCCTCACCCCCTCCCCTCTCCCCCTCCTCCCATTTCCTACTCTCCCCCTCCATCTCCCCTTTCTTTCATCACTACCTCTCCTCCCCTCCCCCCTTCCCTCCCTCCTTCCCCCTCCCCTTCCCTTCCCCCCTTCCCCCTCCCCCCCTCACCACCTCCCCTCTCCCCCTCCTCCCATTTCCTTCTCTCCTCCTCCATCGCCCCTTTCTTCCTCCCCTTCCCCCTCCCCTTCCCCCCCTCCCCTCCTTCAACCCCCCACACGCCTCATAAACTACCCTCCCCTAACAAAGAGCTCCGCCCGTGTTGCTCGGCTGAACATTCCGCGTGAAATATCGACGCCGGTATACTTTAGGCCGCTGCCATTGTTATGATTAAGAATGATGGAAGTAGAAGAGAACGAGAGGGAGGCTGGGAGGGGTGGGCGGGGGGGGGGGGGAAGGGGGGGAAAGAGGAAAGATGGAATGAGAGTGGATAGATAGATAGATAGATAGAGAGGGAGAGATGGAGAAAGAGCAAGATAGTGAGAGTGAGAGCGAGAAAGAGAGAGAGAGAGTAGATAGATAGAGGAATAGATGGATAGATAGATGGATGGATAAATAGCTAGATGGGTAAATAGATGGATATACGGATAGATAGATGGATAAATAGATTCGTAGATATATATGTATGTATACATATATATATATATATATACATATAAATGTATATATATACATATATACGTATATATATACATATATATGTAAATATATACACATACATATATATACATACATACATACATACACATACATACATACATATATATACATACATATATATACATACATATATATACATACATATATATATATATATATATATATATATATATATATATATATATATATATATACATACATATATATATACATATACATACATATATATACACATGTGTATATATATACACATGTGTTCATATATATATGTATATATGTATATATATATATATATATATATATATATATATATATATATATATATATATATATATATACATATATATATATACATATATATATATATACATATATATATACATATATATATATATATATATACATATATATATATACATATATATATATATATACATATATATATACACACACATGTATATATATATATATATATATATATATATATATATATATATATATATATATACACATGTATATATCTATCTATATCTCTCTCTCTCTATACATATATACACATATATATATCTATATATCTTTATATCTATCTATCTATCTATCTATCTATCTATCTATCTATCTATATATATATATATATATATATATATATATATATATATATATACATGTATATCTATCTATCTATCTATCTATATATATATATATATATATATATATATATATATATATATATATATATATATATATATACATATAGCAGAGACAGAGTCGAAACACACGACGATGCATGATAAACAGAGCGACAGGAGTTTCAGAAGAATGAGGAAAAGTTACAAAAACTCCCGTAATAAAACCTGCCAACGATCTCGGAGGAAAGTTAGTCAATTAGCGAGGCCGTGAGCGTCCCGTAGCTAAGTTCGTTGGAGGCGGAACCGGTCTCTTCCTCGCCCGCTTTTGCGCCGCGTGAGAAAGGGAAATTCTGTTACCTTGTGCGGGATAATTTCGTTTTCTTGTTACCCCCCTTGAATCAAAAAAAAAAAAGAAGAAAAAAAAAAAAAAAAAGAAAAGAAAAGAAAAAAGAAAAAAAAGACGACCTTACAAATGGTCATTAGACGAAGCACTTTTTTTTTTTTCTCTCTCTCTCTCTCTTTTTCTTTTTTTTTCGTTTTTTTTCCCTTTGAAGTGGCGGTCTCTGTAAAAGAAGGAAGTGTTACCCCTTTGAAGAGTGTTTACTCCTTTTAAGAGTAGAAATGTGGACTACACTTAAGAGAGAGAAAAAAAACTGGTAGTATCTTCACGTTTCAGGCTCTCACTTTGCTTTTAGAAATGAGGTGAGAATTTTCCTTCCAAGATCATGAACTCAATTGAGACGAAAGAAAATGAAATAGCAAGTAGCGGTAGTAGTAGTAATAGTAGTTGTCGTGGTGATGGTGGTAGTAGCTGTGTTGTTGCTGTTGCTGTTGCTGTTGTTGTTGTTGTTGTTGTTGTTGTTGTTGTTGTTGTTGTTGTTGTTGTTGTTGTTGTTGTTGTTGTTGTTGTTGTTGTTGTTGTTGGAGAAGTAGTACAAGTAGTACTAATAGTGACAGTAGTAATAGTAGTAGTAGTAATAGTAATAGTAGTAATAGTAGTAATAGTAGTAGTAGTAGTGTAAGTTGTAGTAGAAGTAACAGTAGTAGTAGCACTAATAGTTATAGCACTTGTAATAGTAGCATTTGCAGTAATAGCAGATTAGTAGTAACAGTAGTAGTAGTAGTAGTAATGGTAGTAGAAGTAGAAGTAGAAGTAGAAGTAGCAGTAGCAGTAGCAGCAGCAAAAGCAACAGTCGAAGTACTAGGAAAAAAATATTCGAAATAGAAGAAGAATAACAAGAAAAAACATAAACTAAACCCGCGGTCTCTCCCGCTGACACTCACGCGAGGGACAAAATATTTTTCCCCCGCACCCGATACCCCGGCCTTGTTCCTTGTTCAAAGTCCACCTCCAGCTTGATTGTGTTAATTAGTGGGACGGGAGAGATCCTTTTGTCTGCTCTACCTTTCTCTCTTTCTTTCTTTCGTTCAAAGTAGCCCGCTAAAAGACTCAAACTGTTGAGAGAGAGAGAGAGAAAAAAAATCTTTGTTGATATATTTTTATTACGCTCCTCCGTTTCCCTTAATTAAAAATTATTTACGTCCCTAACCTCTTTTTCCTCGTTATGGCTTCGTCACCTCTTCCCCCTAAACACTATTTTCAACACCATAGTAAGAACAATTATATAATGCATAAACGGATCGAATGCGAATTGAAACAAAATATCACATTTAAAAAAAAATGATAAGAAATAAAAGACAGATATATCCCGAACGTCTTATTTGACATCCCGACAGAATCTGTAGCCACGGGCGTCTCGAAGAATTTTCAATCTTCGCCCAGAATGCCAGCTTCAGTCTTGCTCGAAATGGTGGCAAAGCCAGGCAGGTACCT